TGTCATTGATATTGTGTAATTTTGTTAACCATTATGCATATGGCATTGGACTTTTGGTAGTTGTTACGGTTTTGGTTTCTAGTATACTGTGACAACTGACAACATCCCTCTTGAGAATAATTAAGTGTCTGATCATGTCCGACCAAAACATGGGGCGGTCTGACACAATGTCAGACAAAGTTTTCAGAATTATATTGAACTCTGGTTCTAAAACGCATTGATTGGTACATTGTTTCTGCAGTTATATGAACCTCAAGGCTCACCTTAAAGTGCCTATGCAACGAAATTTTCACCTCATTTTTTATTGTTTTTCTAAAAAGTACTGCTGGAGTGATGAAGAATGACGTTTACAGTTTCGTCATATCTCATCTCATTCTCAAGTTATCGGCACTTTCTATATTTTGAGTTGTGACGTCACAAGTATGAGTTGAGATAATGGCAATAACAAGAAAGTATGATATCTTGGTGAGTATTTAATAAAATTTAATGAAACTTGGTACACTTAGTGGGTGCAACAAAGTCAACAATTTTGCTTGTCTATGTGGTTGTTATGGCAACACACTCGTCTCCAGTCCCTTCTCTTCCAATTTCTATATGATCCATTTTCAACGAAATAAATAGCAATTTCTGCAATTTTCGCTTATTACTATAATACGTGTAGGTATTGTGATCAGTTTAAACCGTTATAATATGTAAACATCCTCTTGCAAGAGGTCCACGGGAGGAAAGTTGTGAAAGGAAGAGAAGAGACTGGGGACTAGTGTGTTGCCATGACAACCACATGACCTACCAAAAATATTCATATGAGTGCACCCACTAAGTGTACCAAGTTTCATTGAATTTTATTAAATACTCACCAAGATATCATACTTTCTTGTTATTGCCATTATCTCAACTCATACTTGTGACGTCACAACTCAAAATATAGAAAGTGTGATAACTTGAGAACGAGATGAGATATGACGAAACTGTAAACGTCATTCTTCATCACTCCAGCAGTACTTTTTAGAAAAACAATAAAAAATGAGCTGAAAAATTCGTTGCATAGGCACTGAGTAAGGGATTGGATTTGTCAGCATTTGTCAGCATCGTCCTAGAATTTCCTTTGTTGCTTTTGCTTCTGATGCTGGTGAAAACTGTGTTTTTTGTCTGGCCATTCACCTTTGTCTTGGAGCCATTTAAATTAAAACCATGGGGCCCGGGGCCACCGAGAGCTTGGCGGGGGCCCGGGGCAAATTTTCTTTTAGGACTCCTTATTTCAAAATTTTTCCGGAAAAAATTTTTTTGGACAACAACCCCCCCCCCTCCCCCGAACTTTTTAGGGAAAACATTTTTCCGGACAAGCACGTTGTAATTGCTTTCCAGCGACTTTACCTCAATTTTTAATACCAAATTTGGGTACTTTGGCAAAAAAACCCAAATATCTTGTCCTTTGCGCGGAAATATTTCACCCAAAAAAATTAACTGGGGCCCAACAAAAAATTTCTAGGGGCTCCAGAACCTGGGGGCCCAAGGCAATTTCTCCCCCCCCTCCTCTCGGCGGCCCTGTGCCCCGTAGCCATGTGTGTGCCAACCAGTTGCGAGACGACTTTTGGCTGCTACCAGTCATTGAGTAGTCCCAGAATGGTAATGAACCACTGAGCTGTAACTCCTTTTGCAGAGGCATCACTGAATGCATGTACTTCGAAGTGTAATTGATTGTGGTACAGAATATCCACCAAGCGTTCTTCTTCCCATTTCTCCCAACGTTGCTGAAGGTCTTCGTTCGGTGTCGCATCCCAAGCCATTTGTTTCCCTTCGAGTGTCACTGGTGTGATAATCCTAGAGGTGGTAAATCCTCGCTAACTTTCCCAGTACTCCACGTTTTGTATAGACTGAACTTCTTGGAACCACTATGCTCAAAATATCCTGCTGCTTGTTCCATTTGAGCTCGAGTATCTTTGAATCTTGCTGACTTATTCATTCAATTGTTGCTTCGTTGCCGTTGGAAGGTCGCATCTTCGCGCCATCTTGAAGGATCTGCATGTGTGACCATTTACTTGGTGTGTTGTGTTTACTCGGTTGTTTGTCCTCCTGACGGAAGATAATCTACAGAAAGCTACGATTCCTCGACATTGGGCATCCTTCTTACTTCGTTCAAGAGAAATGGAAAAGGCGTAAGTTCAAACAGACAGAACTGGCGTGAAACGTTACAGTACGTCTAGGACTGTTCGGTATATCGATATACCGAAAATATCGGTATTAAATCAGTATCGGTATATCGATACCGGATATTCAACCATACCGATATACCGAAATTTTGGATATACCGGAATTTTTCGGTATACCGTGTTAAATTTACCAACTATATGACGAAACCATAACCTTTATTTTACTACTGAATGGCAATTCAAAGAACTTTCTACTGCAATGATTTAGAATTTCCACTTCAGTGAGATTTCACACTGAGTACGTGCGTGTCGTTCGAAACATGTTCGAAACAGCTTCGAAATTATCGTTTTCCCTTTTAGAATTACTGAAAATTCCCTTCAAACTTCCATTAAAGAATTTTCCTTTATAATTATCAAAGGAATATCGGTATAATTTTTTCGGTATACCGATACCAGAAATTTCTCATACCGAACATTCCTAAGTACGTCTCAATTTCATTCAGTTTCTTCACTCGACCGCCGCTTCAGGTATTTCGCTTGGTTTCTCGTACACATATTCGTAAGAAAGTTTGGCGAATGTCCCCAGTTACGGCGACTGGATAAACACGTCGGACTAGAACATCCCATGTTCGGTTTAGAAGTGGTGGTACAGGTTTAGGGCATCTGTTAAGGATGGAGAATCGGGAAATGCACGCCCAGACACGTCGTAAGACGGCTTGTAACAATTGTAACTTTGTTGATGATGCCGCTTGTAGCACAACTGGTATCAGGGTTTAAAATAGCAGTCGGCGCTACCCCGTACGTGACTTTTATATAAGGAACTTCAACTTTTCTCTGTAATCCATTGATCTATACGATGAATTAATAGATTTTTATTTAAAGAGATTCGGTCTTGACATAACTGATCGCGTTAAACGTTTTTGAATTTTTGTGAGCGGCGAATCAGGTTGGAATCGTAATCGTATGATGAAAGTCAATGCCCAGCATAACGCGCAAAAGAGCCATCTGACGAAACGTTAGTTCTTATATGCGTTGTCTATTTTTGCTGCCCATTTTATAATTTTTCTGACAATCTTGATTGGTATTAAGAGGGCCTGCAGTCTTTGTGCATGCCCATGATGAGTTATTTTATGACGAGACAGACGGCTCCAGGTTTCAACCTGGAGCTGGAACGACTAGTTTGTAAATAAACTGCTTTGGCCAGTTAAGCACTAATGGAAATCCAATTTTTTTGAAAGACCATTTTTTCATGTCATATTCTTTAGTGCGTGAGGGAAAATGAAGACATTATTCCGTTCCGTTCGTCCATGGTAGCTTGTGAAAGATCACTGTTTTTTCTGACAAAGGGGCTGGTCAGCGGTGGGATAGATCGCAAAGCTCGTTTAAAACCTTATTTTTTTACCTTTATAACGAAAAATTTAAAATTTTGATTGATGACCATTCTAGAAAATGTATTCAAAAGTAATTTCAAGCGGTTAACTTGTTTCCATATCGCGAAACCGCGATGAATAACTCGCGCAAAATTGAACTGTCTAATTTCACGCACCGCCCGGTTGTGTTAATTCTATCCTTCCGTGAACACAACAACTTTGGTATGCGTAAATTTACGCTCTAGAGATGTAAGATTTTGAAATGTTTATGACATAATATCATTTGATGCGCTTTGCTGAAGAACTAACGATATAAATATATTTAATATCCGAAAGACACGACGCAAACAAGATCGCTAAAGATGGTGTTATTATGCGGCTCAAGTCGCCGAAAGGCCATAACATGTCAAATACGTCTAGCAAATTTCTCGCTAATTTCGCCTTGCAACGATTTTTTAAAAGATGACCCTTCTAGACTAATATTCATACTATCATATTTTACAGCATTTGAAACTTTAGGATATATATCCACCATGAGCAACTCATGAGAACACTATAGCATCGTTACCGACATAAGAAATCAACTTTCAAGAGATGTGAAATATTAAATGTAACAATAATGCAAGTCCTCTGGCACGTGCCGGACATTTGATAATCTCAGGGGAAAACCGTATTAATTAACTATAATGTCGACATGCAAATGCATGCGATCTAATGAGGCCATGCAGGGAAGGATTTAATAGTGCACAGGAATGGAAACAAGGCAATTTTCCTTGGCATTTGCGTTGTATTTTTTCAATACATGAGCAAAAACGACGCCTTTTCGCAAAGATAAAATAGTTTTATAAGCATGCGTAGGTTGCGCTGATTATGTTAATAAGGAAGGCTTAAAACACACACCCCCCTTGAGAATGTGGGCGCACGTCATGTTACGCAAAATACTTATTGTTAGATAAGTATAAACATCACCCGAACATATACAATAAATTAACTTGTAATAATGAAATGTATTATTTTCAACTGCAACTTTGTTGGTAGTATGTTCGTCTAAACGATATTGAGTTTGGCTCGTTGACATTTATAAAATATTAAAATATACCTTATTCAGCTCGACGTTAGTGTTTCACCAGTGTTTCGGGCATACCTGATTATAAATCCTGTCCGGTGTGTATAAACTCGTCAAAGTATTGCGTCTGTGGTTTTGTACAGCTCAGGATTTCAGTGGGTTTACTTTCTGGTCTTCCTCAGGACGTGCTCGAAGAGAATTCAAGCATTATACTTGTAGTCCCTAGTGTTTCATTATCAGAAGTGCTTGATTGCCAAGCTTCATATTTCGTATCAAAGTTATATAGTTTATAGTTTTATATATATATATATACATATATATATATATATATATATATATATATATATATATATATATATATAGGAGAGCTTTGCATGAGATGTGCTGATCATTGCTTATTGTTCGTCGAGAACAATGAGAAAGTCACGAGATGTTCTAAATATCTTGAAAAACCAAGGCGGTCATTATCACCGTTATCGACATCGGTCCCAAAGCGTTTCACCTGGGAGAATTAAAAAAAGAAATAATGCCAGAAGACTTCATTTTTTAAAGGAATTGGAAAATACAGCTAGGTGCATTTGGAATGTCTCAGAAAAGCGGCATAAGCATGCAGATCCTGGCTTAAAAGGCGGTGGAAGAAAAGGTGCTAAACCAACATTGGATTTAGAAAGACTAGCCAGCATTATAATAAGAGTGTCAATCTCCAAGGAATCATCAAAAAAAGAATTCTGGAAGGCCGTTGCACAAAATTATTATAAGACGCTTACAGTGGACAAAATAAAAGTGGAACAATTGCGTCTAGTATGGCGACGAAACAGTGGGGACATCAGAGGCCGAGTTAAGTATGTACATCAACGAGAGGAATTAAACAATGGCCATTCTACTGAAAACGATCTAGTCTCGTGTATGGATGACGATCAAGGCGAACCTATTGATACTTCAAAACTTATCCAAAGTCATCTGGACTCTCGAAATAGTAGTAATGAAGGTTCAATGTCCCACGATAGCAGTATTGATGATTTTTTTGGACGTGTTGTCGGGCGAGCTGTTGTTACCGTTTACAACGAATTCTGCCGTGGTGATCAACACCAAAACCCGTCTTCGGCTACAAAAGAGCCAGCGATGACGTCGCCGAATTTGACAAACATTGAAGTGGGAGGTTCACAATGTAGTAAAATACCAACTAGTCCTATTCCACATCCCAGTTTTCAATCTCCAAGACAGCATGTATAGAAGTGAAGGAAACTTCTCCAAATCATGTTTTCCGTATTGACACTATAGAACCTGGCACTTCCCTAACTTGTTACGAGCGTTTAGACGAGGATCAGCCTGATAATTCTTTTCTGAATATGCCCGGTGTGTCAACCATGACAGCGAACACATTGTCTGGTAGCAACGTGCCATCATCTGGTGTGTTTTGAGCAACACTCACGAGACCTGTAACCTTTGTATCGCTTCCTATCGAATGGCGAGATATACCAATTAAAGTCATTCCTGGTAAAAGTAAATATACAGATCACAGATCATTGGGTGGAGAGTATGTAGCATTTTTTTCCAAAATGCTGAAACTGTTCAATAGTTATTGCTGTTGGATATTTAAGAAAAATTACATCAAGCAAGAAAATTCACGTAAAAAATCGTCACCATACTGGCGTGGTCATGCTATTTGCAAATACCAAGATGTTGAAGTGCATTTAAGAATTGCTGACAAAGAAGAAGGAGTGTTAGAGATAAACTTTTCCGGAGATGTGGAGCATGATGTTACGCAACCTAAGGCGAAAAGAATAACTGGAAAGCCACGACAAAAACTCATATCTGAAGTATGGAAAACAAACAACAATCCTTCGAAATTGCATCGTGAGGGCTTATTAAATATCGATTCTGATGCCTTTTCTGCCGGTATAAGGACTGGAGCTGGTATCACTCATGGAACGATGAAAGGAATTAAATCAGAATCAAAGAAGAAACACCAGTAACTCAAGCAAGTATTTGTCCACGTTTTTACAAGCGATTCGTCATCAATCACGCCATCCTAGCTAGTACAACCGGCACTTTGTACCTACCAAAACCTGATAAAAACTTCCGGTTGTACTAGCCAGGATGACGTGGATTGGCGTGAGCGAGTTAAAATTTTCGTGGACGTAAAACAATAAGGGAAACGACTAGAGTTACGCTTCTGCTATATCTTCTTATTCTGTGCCCAGGAGTACGTGGATTTATAAACCCCTTTTCAATCTGCGCATGCTCACCAGTACGTTTCGGTACGATACGGGCGAAGTGGAAAACCGGCTTAAGAGATGTGCCGTATACATGCTTTTCATAAATGGCTGCCGATTAAAAATTCTTTTATGTGCATATAAATTGGCCCAACAACCTCGTTTCTGGGTAGAAATTCCTTTGAAATCTTAACATGAGTACGAGGCTAGTTGGGCCAATTTATATGCACATAAAATAATTTTTAATCTGCAGCCATTTATGAAAAGGGTGTATAAGATCCGGAGATTTATAAAGTTGTAGGTAACGAAGCACTCCCCACCCAACCTCCCGTCGATCTGACACGTTGATCAACAGGGTCCTTTTCAGTTTAAGCCATGGTCTCTTAACACATAGCCGTGGCAGCTTTTCGCCACTGCCTCTCCAGCAGCCAGCTGACCATCTCCTACGCAGGCCACTTAACACAAAGTTACGCCACCAGTATCTTAATAAAAAAGACATAGCTGTATTTGAAAATATATTCAAACATGATTAAATAAAACCTGAAAAACATTCCATGCACCTTCTTTATTCCCTGGTATTTTTTCTCAGCTACCCAAAACATCTAAAACGGAGATGTCATGCAGTTGCATAAATTGTTTATTTTTGTTCATTTCTGCATCCGTCCGAAAATGAAAATACACCCATCACAATACACCCGGAAAATACGTCATTTTGGCTATATCATGTGCCATTATTAGGTACGGCCCAACGCGCCACAAGACAAGGCTCTATAATGACGTGCATTTACGTTGGCATGTTTATAACATCTGCTAAAATTAGATAAAAAACGCTTTAAAATATCAAGTATATAAAAAGCATTATACCGGGTGGCGCAAAAAAAAGTATAACTGTTTGATTACATATAGCTCAAAGACCATAAGCAGTAGAACCCAAAATCGAGTTTCATTGCATCCAGCGATGTCTAACTTAAATTTTGGTATATTCGACAGGCATTTTCGTCCAAGATTGACTGAGATATGAGTGTTTAAACTTTTGTTAGCAAATTTGAAACAGTCACAAATTAGCTAAAAACGGCCTATTAAACTGATTTTTAGCTAATTTGTGACCGTTTCAAAATTGTTAACAAAAGTTTAAATCTTATATCTCAGTTAATCATGGACGAATATGCCTGTCAAATATACCAAAATTTAAGTTAGATATCGCGGGATGCAATTAAACTCGATTTATGGTTCTACTGCTTATTGTTTCTGAGTTACAAGTAATCAAACAGTTGTACTTTTTTTTGCGCCACCCGGTATATGCTTTCTAAAGCAATTTATACGCCTTCATAATAATGAACTTAAAACTGTGCTAGCTAGTATAATTTTCTTAATAAATTAAATCAAATATACAATACTGCACAAAATGTATACAGTTTGTGTATGTAGTTTATGCAAAGGTTTATGCAATATTAATTAACTTATACGGGCAAAACCAATGTTTTTTGCTCGTGTATTAAAAAGATACAGCGCATGTAAACCAATATGCATTAGTTACGTAACATGACGTGCGCCCACATTCTCAAGGGGGGTGTGTGTGTTTAAGCCTTCCTTATGAACATAATCAGCGCAACCTACGCATGCTTATAAAACTATTTTATCTTTGCGAAAAGGCGTCGTTTTTGCTCATGTATTGAAAAAATACAACGCAAATGCCAAGGAAAATTGCCTTGTTTCCATTCCTGTGCACTATTAAATCCTTCCCTGCATGGCCTCATTAGATCGCATGCATTTGCATGTCGACATTATAGTTAATTAATACGGTTTTCCCCTGAGATTATCAAATGTCCGGCACGTGCCAGAGGACTTGCATTATTGTTTACATTTAATATTTCACATCTCTTGAAAGTTGATTTCTTATGTCGGTAACGATGCTATAGTGTTCTCATGAGTTGCTCATGGTGGATATATATCCTAAAGTTTCAAATGCTGTAAAATATGATAGTATGAATATTAGTCTAGAAGGGTCATCTTTTAAAAAATCGTTGCAAGGCGAAATTAGCGAGAAATTTGCGAAGCAATTTAGACGATGCTAGACGTATTTGACATGTTATGGCTTTTCGGCGACTTGAGCCGCATAATAACACCATCTTTAGCGATCTTGTTTGCGTCGTGTCTTTCGGATATTAAATATATTTATATCGTTAGTTCTTCAGCAAAGCGCATCAAATGATATTATGTCA